TCCTTGTTCCCCCCCCCCCCCCCCCCCCCACCATCTCACTTTCTGGGAAATGCCACACTTTTGCTTCCAAGTCTTCTTGCACAGAGGCTGGCCTTTTCTGAGTCACTGTCACACTGTCACAAAGGGACAATATTTTGAAGCCTCTTGACCAAAGCTTTTAAAATTAGACTCTAATATTGCACAGATGGTGGTGTTTATTAAACTACGTCAAGTGTGTAATTATCTCCTGAGACCTCACACACAGCAGTGCTCTGAGTCTCCGGTAACTCAGGATTAAGTTCTGGGAAAAATCGAATGCCAAGTGTTTATCAGGTGTCTGGAAGGGTGCTCAGGAATACGGCACGTACCACCTGTGGCTGACGTCGGTGCCTGCCCACCCTGTGGAGGGCCGCCCTCTGACCCGTGCCTTCCATTGAGTCTATCATTTTGTCTTCCTCATGCTGATTGGTTCCCCGTAGGTATTAATAACTTGAGCTTTTAAAAAGATACCACCTTCTGCCTCCCAGGTGCACTGTGTTTTCTCTTTTGAAGCCTGCTAGAATTATGGAAATAAATGTAAGAAACCACCTGGCTGCTTCTGACATAGGTGGTGGCGACCCCCTGAGTCACGTGGGTGCTCCTGACTCTCCTCTAGGGTTGGACTAAACCTTAAAGTAGCAGCAAAACACTAAAATGTAAGCTTCCAAAGGGTTGGGAGAGGGTAACTTATTTTGGTCAAATAGTATTAATTTATTTTGTATTTTCCTCGTCATTCTGCCATAAAGCTTGGTGGAAAGCTACATGACAACTGTTTTTAGAGCCAGGGCGGCCACTCCATCAAGCACACTGCGATGTCGGTTCTAAAACTATGATTTCAGGCCAGCAGCGGCTGGATCCCATATGGCCAACTGCACGGGTCAAGTCTTGGACCCGGCAGACTGAAACCCACATTGGGCACGTGTGTGTGCATGCCCAAAATCCCAAGAAAGAAGGGAGGATAAAGGATGATAGTATGACCATGCTCCCAGGGAGTGATTCTCCCTCTCTGTCTCTGTTTCTCTCCAGGAAGCACATGTACCCTATGGAAAAACTAGAAACAAACACTGATTTCTGAAGCAGGAAGAGGGCAAGGGAAAGTGAGGAGAAGACATTCATAAACAAGAGCCCATACAACTGCGTGTATGTGGGGACACATAATTGTTATCCACCCTTCATTCTCAGAACAAAACCCAAAATACAGACGTCAAAAGAAAACTTACATTTTGAGTGAAACCACAAAACCCATCCCACTTCCATGACTAAATAATGCATTTATATGCTGCTTTTCCTCTGTTCCTCTAACCTTCGGCATTACTTAATGTGACTGGAAAATGGTGTGAAATACTTTTACAAGTCAATAAAAGGAGAATACTCAGAATTTAAGCAGCAGGACTGTGGCAGGATTGGGAACAATTAAATGAGTCTTACAAGTTATGGTTGGTTACAGTAAGAACTTACCCATGATTCATCTGCTGGTTTATCAGTCATAATAAAAAGCTAATCGACTATGGAATGGCTATGAGACCGTCAATGACATATGTCAAGAGGACGTCACCTGAAGGCCACACTAGCACATCCTGGCTCCTCTACTTGGTTATCCCAATTATGATAAAATGCAACTCAGACTATTTTAAGTTGGAGAAACTGCCTATGGAAAGCCCCGGGTTACAAATGCTTGTTCCTCACTGAATGCAGGCCCATGACTGCATTTCCTGCATATGAAACCAGTTCGAAAGATCTTTGGAAACCAGTCAGAGACCTTTAAAAACAGGTTAGACTCGCTCTGAGCTGTGCTCACATAACACATAGTCGCCATGGCAATGAAAAGAAAACTGAGTTGGTTCAAGTTTTAGCCAAATTCTGAACTGGGACAGCTCTCCTCTGCATGGGGGTCAGCTCAGGTTGGGCAGGAGGACCTGTGAGCAAAGGGACACGAAAGCCTGGCCGGCCCCTCACCTGAGCGGTTGTTGGGAGACACACGCACGGGGGAGATGGAGGGCGTGCGGGAGGAGGAGTAGGGCCTTTGCCGATCCCGCTCGATGGTCGAAGACGAGGCTACGAAGTGATACTGTGACCATCCATCCTGAAAAAGACAGCACAGGGCTATTAACCAGGGAGGTAGAGTGATTCTTTAACCTCTCGTGTTTCCACGTTCCGAGCATTTGAATCTGAAAAACATTTTTACAGTATAGTCAGAAGCAATCAGAAGCTCAGTTAACAGAGGCAGAGGCGGACGTGAATGAAGACACCTCCTCTCCTCTCCTCTCCGACAGCCTGGCCGGGAGAGCTTGCTTTCAGTATTTGCTTCCCCCTTCGAAATGGTGAATAAATGATCTCTTTGCAAATTTGCTTTGGCCAAAAGCTTTTATTTAAATGAAAATACACAGCTTAGGCTGTCAGATGACCCTGAAACTGTCTACCTTTTGCCTACATGGTGGGTTCTAATTTTACTTGGCCCCTTTTCTTCTGCCAGGGATCTTCCCAAAGTGCTTGCTCGCTTGTCCCCAGGACCAGCTTCTCAGGTTTGTCAGTGATCAGAACACACGAAGACCCCTCCTGCCCATGCGTCTCCCTTACCCTCCTCCCAGCATCCTCCTCTGCCCCCAGTGCCACACCCGCACCTGTTGCTAGGCCTCTGGCATGACTGTTCACACCTAGACTGGTATGGTGTCTGGTTGGCCCTGGGAATTGTATTTTTAAATCTAGAGCATGTTTAATGTGCATTTACCAAACCTTCATTAGCCTCCAATATCTAGTTAACACAGGAAAAGTGCATATACTATTTTTCAGTATTAAAGCTATATAATACAGTACGGACCATTTTGTGACTTTAGAAAGCATTAAAGAAATAAAATAATTGGTAATTCCATCCTCCCCACCCCAGAGAACTCCTGTTACTATGCTACAGTATTTCCTTTTAGTCTTTTTTTTTTTTCATCCGATTTTATTTCTATCAGAGTAACATGTCACTCCCACCCCATACCTGCTTCACTGTTCTCAACTGGCCGAGCTTTTTTTCTGATAATGTTTAGACTTTTAAGGGTCTCGATGCTCTTTAAAGAAACATTGTAAACATAAATAGATAAAAGTTAAAAACAAAAGGCAGGCTCATTTCAGTATTTTTGTCTCTTGGTTTATCTAATTGCCATTTTTCCTAGTCTACTGGACTGGGCAGATGCTGCCAAGGCTAGAAGTCTGTTATTTGGACAGATCACACCTAGCACTTACTGGATCCTTACTGTGTGACAAGATTCAACAATCCCAAGAGCTGGATGCTACTGTTATTACTCTCCCCATTTTTCAGAGGAGAAACTTGAGTCTTTGAAAGTAAATAGGTCATCCAGAATCAAATGGTAAGCAAGTTAATAGAGTGATACTAACACATATTAATATTAAAATGCAGGCAGACCGATGAGCATTTGGAAGGAAGGAAGAAGCAGGGTCAGGACACAGAGGGACAGGCTACTTTGTAGAGCATTGTCAGGGAAACACTCTGGTAAGAGCATATGTTGCTATGGGTGTGTGCGCTCATAGGGAGAGACAGAGAGAGTGAGAGGGAGACGGAGAGTGGGAACGTGAGAAAGCTCCCAGAGGATGGGTCACACCACAATCCCCTCTCCTCTATAGTCCTGTTGGGATTTTGAACATATACACACGTGTGCCTGACATGTTTTCCAAGTCACCCGGTCTGGGACTTGAACCATGGAGTTGGCATGTGGGATCCTGCTGTCTTAACCACCATGTGACCAGCTGGCCCAGCAGAGATCTGAAAGTGAGAGGGATGAGGACCAGTCACTGGAGACAGACTGGAACTTCAAAGCCAGGGAAGAACAGATGGGAAGCCCCTGGGACGCAATAACAGAAAGGCTCCTATGACTGAAGGATGTGAGTGAAGGGACCTGGCAGGAGCCCTCTGAGTGTTGGGAGCAGTCTGGAGAGAGAAAAATAGAAACAGCAAGGCCAGCTAAGAAGCGGTTCCTCTAGTGGGAGGAGAGGCCACCCTGGGCTGGGTGGTGATGGTGGTGAGAGATGGGCAGAGTTGGCAGCTGAGCTGTAGGGTGTACCAGTGGCCTAGCTGCCTCTGGGGTGAATGACAGGGGAATGGAGGAGCCATTTACTGGGAGGAGAAATAATGCGAGACATGCAGATTTAGGAGGTGAAACAAGACAGTCCTTTGGGACCTATTGGGTTATATATGCCAGTTAGATGTGAAAGAGAAAACAGAACAGAGAAAACTCCACAGATCTGGATCTCAGGCACAGTGCTTTGGAGGTGAGCATATAGACACTATTCAAAGCAAAGAGAATGGGAGAAACCTTATAAGTAAACATAAAAGAAGGCAGAAGACAGACTCCAATGTTGAAGGGGACCAAGGAGCAGGAAGGGAACCAGGATGGCGTGGTGTCACACAGGATTCTGAGAGCTGACACACAAACAGAAAGAGACCAATGGAAAACTAAGGAAGGCCAGGAACCAACCACAGGTCTTGGGAAAATGGACATCATCACAACTGGGAGACAAAATTCCCTTTGGCCAGGATGGTGAATACCGGACTCAAGTGGGCTCCAAAGATAATGAGGACTGATGAAGGGGAGACCATGAATACAGACAGTTTTCTTACAAAGGGAGCAGGAGAATAGGGCTCGAAGCGAGTGAAGGCTCAAGAGATAGTTTAATAATCATCTGGAAAATACCAAGGCATTTTGTATGTTAATGAGAATGACTCAACATGGAGAAAAAAAACCAGTGACGTAAGAGACGAAAACTGCAGGAAGAAAGTTCTGGAGAAAGGAAGAGTTGATAGGTTTCAATGAACAATGGAGTTGCTAGCTTTGGAAGCAGGAGGGAGGACAGACAGATTTGGTGACAGGAAGGTGAGACCATTCTCTTTTGTTTTCTTGTTTTCTCAGGAAAAATGGAAAGTGAATCACCTGATGAGAGTGGGGAGGGGTGGATTTAGAGAAAAGAAGAGAGAGGAAAGGAAGGGAGGATCAGAGAAAGTCTTGAGGTAAATAGGGATCAGGCTGACTATGGCCAGGATTCTGGGACATGACCTGAGGTGAGTGGCAATGCACTTAAAATGACATAATTCATGGTATGATTGATTGCTTTCCTGAAGCTGCTCAAGGCAGGCATAGAGTGGGTAGAGCTGGATGGTTCTCAGGCAAGTAACTTAGGAAATGATGGGACAAAGAAACGACATGGAAGCTGTGGAATCTAAGTTAGAGAGAGAAGAGAGTGAGGACGTGACAGAGGAGAAGAATGAACGTGAGTGAACTGGAGATCCAAAAATTGTCATAGGCCGTTGGAGTGTGGGGACTTCACATGCCAGAGGTTTTCCTGAGAAAGGGAGATGGGAAAGACTTCTTCAAACAGAAGCAAGGAGGACATCCACCCACCTCCAGGGCAATGATGTGGGTGTGGGCAGATGGGAGGGAAGTGAAACAGACACCACTTAGAGGGTGGCAAGAGGAACAGTGTCCTCAAGGTCACTGTATGTCAGAACAAGAAGATTTAAAAGGGGTGTTGGGTAAAGGATTTAGGGGGATTTTACAGCTGGTAGAACATGAGTTAGAAGGAAAATGAATGGGAAGGGGGTAGAAGAGAAGTGGGTTACTGGCTGTTTGGAGCCTTTGAGTGATATAAGTCCAGGTAGACTGGACGAGCCAGGAGACTTGGATATTTGGTGGTAACTGTCTGATGAGGGATGAAGTGCTTGGCGTAACTGCCTCCTCAGGGAAAGGCGGAATGTGTCATGGCAAGGTATAGGTGTCATGGCAAAGGAGAACATGTCTCTCAGAAATTCTGGGGGTTTCTCTGGAGGGTGGGGAGAGCAATATTACCAAACACATGTGTAAGATGGAAATACCATTAAGGTGTATGAACCTACTACTCATATATAAAAATGACTTAAAAATTGTTTTTACAACACAGGTATTTCTTTCTCTCTCTTTTTTCTTTTTTTTGGAGAGGTTTTTGCTACAGGGCATGGGCGCTCGCCAGAAAGACAGAGACAGAAAGCGAGAAATCCCCCCCCAGGAGGGATGGCCACGCCGCAATCCCTTCTCCTCTTCTCCTCTCGGGATCTTGGGCACGCACGCACAAGCGCCCAGTGTGAGTTTAAGCAGCCAGATCTAGGACTTGAACCGCGGTCGACCACATGGGAATCCAGTCATTATGCTAACTGCTAGTCCCAGATATTTCTTTCTCTTGAAAGAAATGATTTGCTGACAGCCAAATTCCTAAATATGGCCAATGGGGGCAGACCATTCATGTCTGTCTCACTCGCAGTTTAGAAGCTATACTGTAGGGGTTCCAAGACTGGCTCAAAATGCTGCTTTAATCAAAACCTTCTTCTTTGGTCATAAATAAGTGATGATATTCTGCACATCAGGAAAGCTGAGCAAGATGTTTTTCAAGAAGAACAGGCTAATAGTTGATCTGTTCTAAGACTTAAGGTGGCTCTAGACACAAAGGTGGCATAATTCTGGGTATGGTTTTCCCCAGGGTGATGTCAATGGATTACTCAGCCCTCTTTTCTTTGCAGGTGAGTGGGGGCCTGTGTTCAGCAGTTCCGATTTCCTGGTGCTTGGAGTACACTGTGACCATGTAAGAACTTACATCTCTGGAAAAGTCAGGAAGACGGATGTAATAAAAAAAAAAAACCTGCTTATGAAGGAAATCTCTTAAAGATGTACCCAAAAACCTTTCAAATCCTTCGTAATCCTGAAATCCTGCAAATGCTAATGCATAATAGAATTGCAACTTGCAGGAATCTTGTCTTTGAGTCACGCGGTCAGCAGGCACCCAAGAACAAAGAGAGAGGACTGGGTAAAGGCACCAGGAATGCAACTTCTGAGCCAGGGGGTTGTAGGCACTGGGCTTAGAAACTGTGAATGGAGGTGAGGAGATGGGAGCTTAAAGATCGGGATGTTCTATTCTGTTGAGCAGCCAGTAACAGAAATAGCTGAGGTGCATCATCTAGACAGAGTAAGAAGTCTATCTGGCTCTTGGTTTGGAGGCCCAAGGTCCAGGGCTACTTTATCTGAGGACTTTCTTGCTGGCGGCTACCATGGTGGACAG